CAAAAGTTCCAGAAACATAGTAAAAGATTACCTTCAGCTAGGTGTGTTAGTTTTTTGTGAGAGATAAGTGGGTTTGCTGTTTAGATTTGGTTTTATCCCAAAAACATCACATTATATTTTTGCAAATGGATGAGATTCAGCCTGCAGCTGCAGTTAGTTCAGTTGTATCATTATACAGATGAGGAAGCTGAAGTTCAAAAAGCCAGTTTGTTATATCATTAAAGAGGATGGTTTTAGAATGTACCAACTTTTTTTGAGTGAAAAGTAATGGCATATTTATTTGACACATATGATGGCATTAGAGAAAAATCTGTCAGCTTTATTCTTCTAAACACTGAAAGAATTTATTTTTTTTTTTTAATTTTGCCACCCTTAATTTGGTGGTTTTTCTGTCTGGGGAGGGCTAAGAAGTTGCAGATATCTAGGCTTAAATTTGCTGATAATTAGGATTCAGAAGTTGAAATATTATGAAACCAGAAAGTTTTACACTTGTATTTATACTGTCTTACAAAAAAGAAACTTGAAAAGTTGAGAATTATCTGTAATATTATAGCCAATATATTTAATAGCTAATCTGTCTTAAAATTGATGTTATACAGCAATGAACAAGAAAGCTAGAATATTGGAGATGTGCAATTTATTTAGCAATCATTATTTAATATATAATATGTGAAGTGTTATTGTAGGAAAACTGTAGGAAACTATGGGAGGAATCATGTTAGCAACATTTGGAGGAATGACTAGAAAGAATAATCCTTCATGTGAAAAATGGAGCTGCTCCTAGAAGCTGAAATTATTGATTCTGGATAAGTCAGAAAACTTACTTGGAGTCCAACCAAATGTACCAAAACAGAAATGATTGGGGCGCAGTCAGCAATCTGTTTTACAAACCCTGAAGGTGATACTGATGCAGGAAATGACTGATTCTCTCCGATACTGGGAAGAGAGGTCAGAGGGAATGTAGCATAGTCCACAGAGCTAAGTCAGAGTTGGGAGTCAGTAGCAGCTTGAGTTGAGGCTAAAGGCATGGGTTAGGGACAGCTAAGATGGTTGAAGTGTTTAGATTTTTATCTCAAACACACTTTAAAAAGTCATTGCAACATTTTCCAATAAGAAAACACTTTAATCAACTTGATCTTATGGAAAACCCACAGAGAAGAGATTGGAGCTGGGTAGAAAGAACACTGAGAAAGCCAATATAGTAATGATGGTTGTGGCCATGAAGGTGCAAAGTAGAGTAGCAGAATAGATGTTTGGAAGGAGAATTTTCACGATTCATTTATTGAGTTAAGTGCTGGGAGTGAGGGGAAAAGGAGAAATTTCTAGAATATTGCTTGGGCAATGGAATATATAGTGGGTTTCTAGCTTAAAGAACATAAAAGGAGCAAGTTGAGAATGTGAAAAGGGTTATAATTTGAGAATGGTCTAGAACTCTGATTGAAGTACTTATGAGATAGTACATGGTGATATCAGCAGGCAATTCACCGGGGCTGAAAAATATATATAGATATATTTATATATATATATATATATATATATAAATTTAAGTAGATAATGCAATGATATTGTTGAATTAATGAGAACATAAATAATACAGAAACATCCATTTTGGACAGAAGGGGAGCCCTCAAAAATGACTGAGAAGGATCAGCCATGAAGAGCAATCAAAACCCAAAAGTGTGTAATGTAATGAAAACTAAGGAAAGAGAATTTGCCATCAAGACTCTCCCAGTTACCTGTCTGTGGTCTCAGGGGAAGTAAAAAGTGGGGAGATGCAGTTTCTATTAGAATAGCTACACAAAGATCAGGACGATCGTGAGAAGTTATGTGAGCTCAAGCATGTGACTGAGCGGGTTCAATGGATAGCTGGGGCCGGAGGCACTCTCTGGGAAGTCAGCACGGTGGGCCACAGACACTTAGGAGGATGCAGCTATGGAGGAGGGAAGAATCGGGGTTGGGAGAGAGTGTAATCCTAGGGGAACACTGCTGTTTCTGCTTTTGAGACAGTGAACTCATGGTAGTGGAGGGATTGGAAGGGAGTGGGGGAAAGAGAAGAGTGACAGAGAGAGAGACGGAATAGAAACAGGGAAAGAAATGATCTCCAAAGGGAAGAGCAGTGAAGCAATTGATAGAATAAGGTTCTCGAATAGTAGGGAGGGATGGGATTAAAAAAGGGCAGGCATGTCTGCTGTAACAGGAGGAAAGAATGGTACTGAAGAAATGATACTGAAAAAGTGAGAGAGTTCCAATTTGAAGACTTCTGTTTTTCTTTGGCAACTGCTGATGGCAGAGAGGGAAGACAGGACTCAAAACTTGGACTGGTGCACAAGTTTAAAATAATAGCTACAGGGCCTGACATGATAGCATAGCAGTTAAGGTCCTTACCTTGAACGCGCTGGGATCCCGTGTGAGCACCAGTTCTAATCCCGGCAGCTCCACTTCCTATCCAGCTCCCTGCTTGTGGCCTGGGAAAGCAGTTGAGGATGGACCAAGGCTTTGGGACCCTGCACCCTCGCAGAAGACCCTGAAGAAGCTCCTGGCTCCTGGCTTCAGATCTTCCTCTTTGTCTCCTCTGTATTTCTGCCTTTCCAATAAAAATAAATCTTTAAAAAAAAAACACTAGCTGCGTAGACTATGTAGGGTAATAAAGAGGGGCAAAAGAGATGTTTAAGTGCTATTTTGAGATAGACGTTAAATTATCGCGATCACCTGCAGATATGTTGACTTTGCTTACATGTATCAGAAGGATTAGTGTGCATGTTGAAGTACCAGTAAATAGGATTTATCCATAATTATTATTATTTACATTGTTTTGGAAATAAAGAGGGGAAAACAAGTGAAAAAAAGAGAAAGGATTCACATCTTTTATCTACGCTTCAAAATTCAAGAAACTAAAAATCGAAGGTTTTTCTTTACTCATTTGGTGGCAAAATTGAATTTTTGTGAGATTGTAGTCTCCACTTATCAAATTTATTCTCTATGCCTGTGTGTTTTGCTTTACAAATTAATATGTGTGATTAGACAGCATTGTCCCATAGTCTGCTGGGGAGTGAGTGACATTTGGAATATGCAGTGTGTAACTGTTCTTAAAACAGAAAGGTTTAAAAGAACATCTGAACCCAGATGTCCTGAATAAGTGTGTTCCTTCAGCTAGCAACTAACAGGCTGGAATGATACACTATGGAGTTTAAGGTGGATGGGGGGAGGGAAGATGGGACGGATAATCTGTTGCAGAAAAGTGTCAAGGACATTGATACACAAACAAACCCTGAAGTTTGGTGTGGGGGAGTCAAATGAGAAAAATTTGCTCAGTGGCATGTTTTAATGAGTCGTTATAATGTCTCATTCCCAAACATAGATGGTTCTGGGTGGTTACAATGTCCAAAATGTGACCACTGGGTGTGGGTAAATGAGTTGTAATGGAATAAAAGGTCATTAGAGATGATGTCAAGAAAATGAAGGGCAAGAAAATTCGGTGAATTACTCACAGTGATGGCGAGATTGGGGTTGGAACAGAGCACTGTGAGTCAAGTTTTCTGATCACTGTGAATAAAAAGCATTCAGAAAGATGCATAAAATGCCAGCATTTCTAAGACCAGATCCTCACTCTGTCTCTACAGCACGATAGAGACATATACAACCTATTAGATGTCATTTTAGAACTCTGCTGTAGAATCTGTTGGAATCTAGAGGAAAGGAAAGAGACTTTAGTGATTGGCCAGGTCAGAAGGCTAAATCACTTATGTGTTTTATTCTGCTCTTAGGATTTTCAGTGATTTTTAAACATTTATGTAAATCTATATTAGGCAGAATATCACATCAAAAATGGCGTCAAAGCTGTCATATTTGCCAGGCAGTCTATCAGAAACAAGCAAAACAAAAAGAAAAAAAAATGTGATCTGTCCTTAAAAAGAATTTAGTTCTAGAAATCTCAGACAAACCTGAGGATTCAGTTTGAAGAATTTCTTCTATGTGATATTTAATTTTCTACTTTCTCCCATGTAACATTTTATTTTCTAATTTTGTTTTAGTTGTTCTGTTTACTACTTATAGCATTATATGTTAAACTGCCTCTAGCCTAAAAGGCTCAAAGAAAAGTGTAAGTAATAGGCAAATATTTTCTAATTGATGATGTTGCAAAATAAATACTTTTACTTATCATATTACTTATACAGTAAGTATATTTTATTTCTTATATAGCAATATCAAAGAATCAAGTGCTCTTTGGACATTATCTTATGTTCTCCCAAAAAAAGCAAAGTCCTGAAATGTGATAGATTGATTGATGAATGCTGCTCTGGGGATAGGGAGTCATGGGGTTAGGCTGTGCTGACCACAGGAATGTAGAGGAGCAGATGCTGGCTCTGGCCAACGGCTCTTCAATGACCTCTTTGAAATGCTGTTGCATTTTGTGGGAACCTGTATTATAAAATGACTGTCACAGATAGAACTTACTGTGTGAGAATGGAAGTATAAAATAATAGGGTGATGATACCCTATCTATAAGCCAACTGTGTTTACACATTCCCTAAATAATAGGACAAAGTGGATTTCACTATGGTGGATATTTCAATTGCAGTGTTCTGCACAATTCTTGTCTGTCTTGTGTATTTTAAGCAAGATTTTTGGGTCATGTGGCTTTTCTAGTAGACGTCAATGACATGCAACCACCGAGAAGGGACCTTGTCATTTGTTTAACTCCAACTGTCTTTAATCTTAAGGACAGTAATAGTGTGAGAAACCCTGGAGTTTGAAAATACAGAGCATTCTACAAGGTCGATTTTCAAATTCTTTTGTGTTTCTGCTGCATATTACCATTAATGTCATATATATACATATAATAATGTCATATATAATGTGTATATAATGTATGTATAATGTCATGTATGATATATGACATATATATGACACACATATGTGTGTGTGTGTTTGAGTTTGGGTACAATGGTACAATGTTTTCTTTTTTCTATCTTTTTATGTGTCTTCCCTTTTAGTTCACAGCCATGAATGAGCCACAGTGCTTCTACAATGAGTCCATCGCCTTCTTTTATAACCGGAGTGGAAAGTATCTTGCCACAGAATGGAATACAGTCAGCAAACTAGTGATGGGACTTGGGATTACGGTCTGTATCTTCATCATGTTGGCCAACCTGCTGGTCATGGTAGCAATCTATGTCAACCGCCGCTTCCATTTTCCTATTTATTACCTAATGGCTAATCTGGCTGCTGCAGACTTCTTTGCTGGGTTGGCCTACTTCTACTTAATGTTCAACACAGGACCCAATACCCGGAGACTGACTGTTAGCACGTGGCTCCTCCGCCAAGGCCTCATTGACACTAGCCTGACAGCATCTGTGGCCAACTTACTGGCTATCGCCATCGAGAGGCACATCACAGTTTTTCGCATGCAGCTCCACACACGGATGAGCAACCGGCGAGTGGTTGTAGTAATTGTGGTGATCTGGACTATGGCCATTGTTATGGGTGCTATACCTAGTGTGGGCTGGAACTGTATCTGTGATATTGAGAATTGCTCCAACATGGCACCCCTATACAGTGACTCTTACTTGGTCTTCTGGGCCATTTTCAACTTGGTGACCTTTGTGGTAATGGTGGTTCTCTATGCTCACATCTTCGGCTATGTTCGTCAGAGGACTATGAGGATGTCCCGACATAGTTCTGGACCCCGGAGAAATCGGGACACCATGATGAGTCTGCTGAAGACGGTGGTCATTGTACTTGGTAAGTTCTGTTGTGACTCCTACTTTATGGGTTCCCGGTATCAATGTGTTTGTTGGTGGTAGTTGTAAACAGCAGTATGAATATTCACCGGAGGGGAGGTGCTTTTTCGTGAAATCCCTGCAACAAAGTCATCCTATCAGTTTTTCTCTGGTTACAGGATTAGCTTTAGGGAACAATGGGCCTCTGTGGTTGGTACAGTATAAATGATGATGACAAGGAAGATGTTCTTGAAAAGTTCAGCTGTCAGGTATTGAATATCTGAAAAACCAATCCAATTCATTCAGTCTTTGAAAGGTTTCCTTATAGTCTGTTACGTGGAATGAGCAGATTCTCAGTGGTTTTATGCAATAAGAATGTTTTCATGTAGTTATTTTTTTTTTTTTTTATTTTTTTTAAAGATTTATTTTTATTATTTTTTCATTGGAAAGGCTGATATACAGAGAGGAGAGACAGAGAGGAAGATCTTCCATCCGATGATTCACTCCCCAAGTGAGCGCAACGGGCCGATACTATGCCGATCCGAAGCCAGGAGCCTCTTCAGGGTCTCCCACGTGGGTGCAGGGTCCCAAAGCTTTGGGCCGTCCTCGACTGCTTTCCCAGGCCACAGGCAGGGAGCTGGAAGGGAAGCAGGGCTGCCGGGATTAGAACCGGCGCCCATATGGGATCCCGGGCGTGCGAGGCGAGGACCTTAACCACTTGCGCCACCGCGCCGGGCCCCATGTAGTTATTTTTAAAAGAGTTATTTATTTGAAAACCAGAGTTAAAGAGGATGGGTGGTGGGAGATGAGGAGGTGAGGAAGAGACAGAATCTTACATTTGGCCAGATGTCCCATCTTTTCACAATACCACGATGGATAGAAATAGGTATGGCTAAAGCTAGGATCCAGGAGCTTCATCTGGGTCTCACATGTGGGTTCTGGGGCCCAAATACTTGGATCATCTTACACTGCTTTCCCAGTATTAATAGGAAGCCGGATTGAAAGTCAAGTGGCCAAGGCATGAATTAGCCCCCATAATGGTGTCTAAGTGGTGACTTTACCTGTTGTGCCACAATGCTGGCCTCCACATGTAGATATTTTTGTTAACTTACTTCTAAGTAAGTAATTTTTCTCATTGTGTATTTGTGATTATGTTATAGGCAAGTATATCAAAAGCTTATGTAGATTTATGGAACTAAACAGATTAGAATGAATGATGATAATCATGAAAAGTTTTTTCATTATTTTCTCTCTGTAGTTATGGTTATTGACTTATATTTTAAAGTGGAGAGCCGATTTGAGTCTTTTCATTGATTCATTACTTTTGCCTTTAAGTAAGTATTTTTCCCAGCTTGGAAAAATTTATGGTGCGGATACAAAGGAATATGTTTGTTTCAACTGTGCGCTTGGAAGATGGTTATGGAGCATCTGTTAAATTCTAGTCCCTGTGGTGGCCTCTGAAAATACATAAATACAGAACATTTCCTATAGAGATGAGAGTATCTGTGTAAAGGTTTAATGAATGAAAATTTGCCTAGACAATTACTCAGTTGAAATATCTAATCTCCATAGACTATATTCAGTTTAGCATTTGATCACATTTTTTTAAATCTTAAAAAAATTCTTTCATCTGTCCCACAGAAATTCACTGGAAAGTTCCTACAATTCTCTTTGTAATACTTTGCTAAGGCAATATTGGGTGAATGTAACCTGGGATTGTGGTGGCTCCTTTGAAACTAAGAAGTGACGTTAATTTAAGTCACTGGTAGGAAACAGAGCTTTAATTATCATTAAATAAATTGCATTCAAATTGGGGCACCAGTCTTGTATATTTTAGAATAGATTCAATGTGTCACAGAATATATTTAATGTGTTGCAGAGATCATTTGAGGATATATTAATTGCAGCCTTCTCCTAGACTTGTAAGAAGGAGAAGTAGGTCCTGGATTTGCTGGCATAACTATATCCCTGCTTAACTACAACACTTGCACAAGATTCTCACTGGTTTCACTATTGCCTCAGATATGAAATTGTGTTATTTCATTCATCGTAATTTAGTAGAGGTAAAGAGATGACTTTCTGATATGCCTAAGTATCAACAAAGACCTTAAGCATGCCTGTTTCCTAAGGACAATTCTACATGATGAGAATGGAATACATCTTTTGCTATGGGTGCCATTTTTGTAAGAAATGAAAAATGAGACATTTTACAATTCTTTGCATTGACCCAAATATTTATTTGCTGGTATCTGTTGGTTAATATTTTTCACATGTATCTACTTTTTTCTATTAAGATATCTGGTGTGATGCACAGGTCATGGAGCCACCGGTAGTAATAGACTACTGTGCGCTATGAACCTGCCACGCTCTTGCCTTGATTTTGACCTTTGTATAATATTTACTACACTCCAGTGCAAAATATACCGAATGATTCAAGTAACATAATTTTTTTTCTTCATTTTCTTATTGTACAGGTTGAAATAATTATTTGAAGGGCTTATAGTGCTATGCTATGTGTTTCTGCCTTGAATGTGCCTTCTGCAATCCCATTTCCATAAACCTGTAATTGGAAAATGCCAGAAAAAAATGTGGCTTTCTGAGGTTTGCACTGGTAGGCTCTACTCATGCAATAAATTGCATTATTTCTGTAAATGAGATGGAGGAAATTTCAGAACATGGGAAAGTACAGTCAGAGAAATAGTAAAGGTGTTTGGTAAGGCAAGGTTGGTGTGTAGTTATTTTAAGTAGGAAGCAGGAATTCATGAAATGGATTGTATCCTTTTAGACAAATGCAACAACAATGAGCAGAATGTGTGTAGGGATATAGAAAGCTTACACAAGTGTATTTAAAAAAATTATTTGAAAGAGATAAAGATAAATAGGAAGACAGGGAGAGAGATCCTCCATTTACTGGTTCACTCCCTAAAAAGGCACAACAGGTAGAGCCTGAAACAATCTGAAGCCAGGAATCAGGAATCTTCTCCAGGTCTCTCACATGGGTGCAAGGAGGGACCCTAGGACTTAAGCCATTTTTTGTTGCCTTCCCACACCATGAGCAGGGAGCTAGATTGGAAGTGGAACAGCTGGGACACAAACTGATGCCCAATGAAGATGCAGGGGAAGCTTAGCCTGGTACACTGTGGTACCTACCCTAGAATTTGCAATCTTATGCAGCCAGTTGTTTGTCAAGGCAAGACCTAATGCCTTTCATGTAACTCATTCCCCCTAGTGCCCATCCATATGTAATCATGAGAGAGATGGGTTAGTTTTGTAGGAATGGTAATTTTGATCTATTCAAATCTCTTCTTGTGTCAAATCAATCTGTTGAGCACATTTTTGTATCCATTCCATTTGATTTTTGCTAGCATATTTCTTTGCCAGATGGTCAGCTTTGTGGAGATAGACACTGCCTTTTTGTTATGTTTCCTCTGCATTGTCTATTGGTGTTCTTGGGCACAAAGTAGAAGCAGTAAAAGCTGTTGAATGAGTGGATGTGATGACAGAACCATGTTTCTGGGTCTTCAAAGAGAATCATGATTTATTGTAATGGTTTTCTGTTTTTTAGCTACATGGGAGCCAAACCTAGCTACACCTCCATCACACTTGTACCTTCTCATTAAGGTACAATAGCTTGGAAAATAAACATATGCAACTTATGCGACAGATAAAATGTTTTGTCTGTCTTTCTGGGAATGATTATAGCTTGATTAACTTTAGAACATTTTTAGTTTCATTTTTCACTTAGTCAGAAATAACCTGGAATAAAAATGTGCATATATATGCATATGTATGCATTATATACATATATTTATACATACATACATATATACATATGTGTGTGTGTGTGTTTAAGAAGGAAGCATATGGAAAAAGATGGCGGGAAGGAAAGATGGACAGAAAGAGCGAGAGAGAGATTGGCAGAGTGGTATCCATTTGTTGGTTCAGTCTCCAAATGCCTGTATTAACCAGGCCTGGGACAAATTGAAGTTAGCAGCTAGGAACTCAGCCCAGGTCTCCCACGTAAGTAAGAAGACATATGGGAGATCTAGAAGAAGCTCATGGCTCTGTTTCTGACCAGCTCAGTTCTGATGATAGTGGCCATTTGGAGAGTGAACCAGTAGGTGGAAGAACTCTGTCTCTGTAATTCTGACTTTTAAGGACGATACATAATCTTTAAGAAAAAAGGCAAAAACTCTGAGATTTATGATGCCTGTGTCGGGTTGTATGGAAGCTGTTTTTGAGTATTACGTCTTATGTAGCATTAATCATGTGCCCTTAGAAGTCACTATTTGCAGATAACAACCTTATGGAGTATGGGTACAGTTACTGATTTCCTATCCTAATTTTCTTTGTGATACCTATAGGGGTTCTGAAATGTTAAAAAGCTTGCCCAAGACCACACAGCTCCTAAGTAAAGGAACTGGGATTCAAACTCAGCCTTTCAAGTTTCAGAGCTCAAATCATTTTCACATCCATGGTATCTTGTTTCTTTGTAATCAAAACAGCTAATAGTGGATGTTGTATTTTGCCTCCGTTTTGATAGCAGGATATTGTTAAACTGAAACTTGGTTTTTGTTGATATTACCTTGAAGCTGCCTGTGCTTTGTTTTTGTGCGCAGTGAAGCTGTAATGAAGAACAATTCCTTTCTTCCTTTTGTTTTGGATGATGACCATGACCCTCATTTCTTCTGTCTTTTCCCAATGTTTGGTGTTGCAGCATCAGGAACTGATGGCCTATGATTGAGGGAGTGTTTTGTACAAGGTGTTGTTCACTTGAGTGTTCATTGTCCCTGGATGAAGTCATGCAGTGTCTCCCCAGGCTTGAGTTCTCTCTGCTTGACATCTTACCAAGAATTCCTTTTGAGTCTGTTCCATGGTTGAATCAGAGTGGCGGTCAAAATGTGCTTCCTTATTTGACCACAATCTGTCTTGAGCTATGAGTCTTTCCCTTTCTGCTTCTGTTCTTCATGATGACACTTCTTTGGGGGTTCACTAGAAGAGAGGGATATCGAAACTTGGAAA